GGGGGGGGGGGGGGGCGAAGTTGATACATCCCCGGGAGGGGAGGCGTCCCCTAGTACTGTGTCGACGAGGGCGTCGGGTGTCGGCCGCGGTGGTCGGAACGTTGACGGTGGTGACGAGGATGATGATGATGATGATGATGGCAGCTTCGAGAAGGTTGACGCGTGGATGGCAGACGGGGAGAGAGGGGGGGCCCCGCAGACGGGGATGGAGGGGTGCATCGTCAAGGACGCCGCGGCAGGGTTCGTCCCTCGAGACGCTCCCTTAGTGGACATGACATTGCTAAATCCCTGAGACGCGCTACGTGCGGGAGATGGAAGAAATACATTACGCGGTGTATGATGGTGGCGACTGCTACTGGTGTACTTTTTTTGAGTTTTTTTGATAGAAGTGGTGTCTTGTGCGTGTTTCACTGTTACTTGTTTTGCGTTTTGGAGCCGACCCCCGGGGTTAGATCACCCACTTGAGACTGGACCCCTGGCGATCTCATTTTGTTCGTTCGATTGTTATTTGCCAAGTGGCGGTGGTTCCGGCGGAGATTCGTTCTTGCTGTGCCCTCATTCCTATCTTTTCCGCAGCAAGCGACGGTGTTGTGCTGAACAAGGGTTCCATGGTCGGCCGCGGATTTGCGCGGCACATGTTGGTTTGCGTTTGGTTGTTTTTTTCACCGTTTCTTTTGTTTTTGATGAAGAGGACCGTTGTTTTCGGCCCGTCATTGATGAACGATCAGCTAGGCGGTTGCAGGTGGCCATGAGACACCACACCCCGTCGAAGCTGTTTGGCAAACGTTTAGAACCTGTTATACAACCCGTGTCGTAGGTTTTGGCACGTTCGCCCTTGCTCTAGTTGTTCATTACAAAGAGAGAGTACTATATAGTAGTTTTTTGGGCGCGTTTAGAGTCCGAGGAGACCCATCATCAGGTGCCGTTCGTGTAGTTGGGCTGTTTTGTTTTTTTTTGTGCTGTGTGCAAGAGGGGCTCAGGTATGTTCCGTTTGTGAATGGGTTCCTATGCGTGACCTGCTGCTGATGCCATGGATGCAGGCCTCTGCTGCTACCAGCGGATTCATTGAATCGCGTGCAGGAGATGCGATGCCGTGAGGGTACCGACGTCGTTTAGCCGTACCCCGAAAGCAGAAGTCGCTTTACCTCTTGTGTTGGGCCGAAGCGGCACTTGGGATAACGGCCCTCGTATTGAGTGAAAGTTCTCCGGGTGTGGTGCGAATTAGACGAGAAATCGCCTACGTCCAAGAGCCGGTGTTGGCTAGCGTTTTGACGTGTGGTACTCGAGAGAAGGCCGGGGGGGGGAGGGCTTAGGCATCGTCGCTGAAACTCGATTGAGCGCATGCATAGGACCACGGACCCCCTTGTAGAAGAACCTCTTAAAAAATGTCTACTCGTTGTAGAGACGCCCATCTTTTGCCATATTTTGCACAATGGTGGAAGGGCGGGCAGGTATTACTTGAGTTTGTTTGCTTGTGGGCCTTTCTTGCCTTTCGTGTAGGTCATTCCACCCTGTGTGGTTCTCCCGTGTAAGTTTGTTGTTGCTTCCTTTTGTGTGCTGCTGTATCCATCACCTGCTTATGTTTTTGCGTGAGTCCCGTGACGGTATTTCCTGCTTCGTAGTGGAAAGAAACACCGGGGACGCACAAGGTGGGCTGCTATGCATACCTCCGTTGAAAAATGCGGGTTCTTAGGTGGAGGCAGGGGGCTGACTCTGTGTTGTTGGGCGACCTACGAGCTCATAGCTCTTGATGGTATCGCCCGTTTATTTTATTGGTCAACTCAGGTGCCGGGTATTGGGAGAGTAGAAAAACATTTTGTTTTGACTTGCCGGCCAAGTTACTTCGAGCACGTGTGTGCAGGAATTTTTGTCCACTACCACCCGAAGCATGGGGCAGTAAAATGTGTTTTCGTATGTGGAGAGCAGTAGGCGTGATTGTTGGTGGGTTCTGTGGGGATGATCAGGGAATTGATCTGATGTGGGAACCTATTGGAGTGAGTTTGTTCGTGGTGTTTCTTCTTGGCCCTGCCGTGGGAATTGTTGATGTAGGTCGTGGAAGAGGGTTCTTTCCTATATCTTTGTTGGAGGCCCATTCGCCACCTTTTAACCCCCCAGCGCTTTCTTCCTGCCAAGCAAGGCGTTTTTTTTGTGTCCCGCGCGTATTTGTAGGGGGGAGTAGAGGCTTCCAGAAGGAAACATATTGTTGTGAAAAAGTTATCAGATTTGACGGCGTTTTTCTGACACCTTTGACGGCAGTACAGTACAAGTGTTGTGTCGGAAGGAAATTCGTGGTGACGCCGTGAGGCGCTAGAGAGAGGCCACGGGTCTCGGCAGAGGGAAGTGACGAGGAGGGTAAGGTGCTTTTCGTTTTCCAACCGGATGTTTCATGTTGTTCTTACATACACGGAGGATATAAGAACCAAACGTATTGTTAATTTATTTCGGCTATCTTAATCTAATGTTTCTTAGTTTTTTGGGCGGAAAACACAGCCTTCTGGTAAAAAAGAATATAGTCAGCACTCAGCGGGTGGAAAAATTTGCACCGGCTGAGCGGTATTTGGAAGCATCTTTGCCCCTCACGCATTTTTTTCATGCATTGTTTGCACCTGTGTTTTCTTCCTCCCAAAATCTAACCTTTTGTTACAGGCTTCGACCTGTCACTCTCGGTAAAGGAAGGAAAGAGATAGACTCTGAGCTGTTTTAGGAGCGTACGTACTTCATTCGACCAGCCCTTGTTTCACGGTGTATCACTGGTCCGCTACCAGCGGTAGTGTCGAATGGCAACTACCCGAATGGTGTGTATCGCTGATGATCAGTAGTATAGACGGCCGGACCGAAGGAATCAGCGCGTTGGAGGTCTTGGTGCTGCTGCTGTACTCGTTCTACTGTTTCCGTGTTTGCTATGTGTGATTGAAAAAAATTCCCCAGCACCAACAGCAGCAGTTGAAGCCGAGAGCACTACGCAATGTCTAGTTTTGGACCAAGAACGGACTGAACGCCGCTTCTGCCGCTTGTCCATCTCCACGACAGACCTGGATGTGAGTCTGGCAGGTCATTCTAGCGTTCTCAGTGATGTTATAACGCCCGTGGTGCGCTTGTCTGATGCTTCTGTCAAAAACACGGATCCGTGAAAGTAGCAAGCCCCCAAAAATCCCGGTTCCTTCTTTTCACGTTTTCGGGGGAAAACGCCTCCAAATATGTTCGAGAAAAAACCATTCCGTGATATGTTCCGTGATTTTTTGGTGGTTAGTAATACCCCTGAGTGTAGAAAAATAATGATGAAACCAATTCGAAGGCATAACAATGAACTAAGAGGTTGACCGCCTGTTTCGGCCGTGCACCTTTGACGGCAGCAGCCGCAGCAGCGGCGAATCGGAACGAAATATTGCACCGCTGTAGCGACGCGCTCATTAAGAAGCCACAAGCCAGGTAGGGGGGCGGTGGTGCCATAAAAGGCAGGGTTCGGAGAGCGGCCTTGTCGGCCTAGTAACACGTAACAATGCGGCGAGTGGCTTCAACGCAGTCAGTCGGTCAGCAAGCCTATCGCGAGAGAGGGACGAACGAGGAACCGCTACAGCTGTATGAGTAGATCGGGTGGTAGAAGGACTGGTTTGGGGCTGTGGATGGGATCATAATTTGGTTGTCGCCTTTCCCAATTCGACCGTTTACCACATACATGCCTTCGAGCAGTGCTTCACCTGTTAGTAGAGGCAACACCAATGTTCGGCCTCTCGTCGATTCTCTCCCCATTCTACTGGGTGATTTTCGCTCAACAATGCCCCTTGTCTTCGTGTTTGTTCGGGGGGTGGTGAGAAGGGTTGAATGGACGCTTTTGAAGTTTTTGAAAGCTGTCGTTCGAGTGCAACTCGAAGTCATTTGGGCGACTATTGGACACCTCGTGGCCACGGAAATGTGACGTTACCGATGCCGAGGAGGGAGGAGTCTGAGCAGCTTGAAATGAAGGCAAACGCCGTAGAACCAACCGTCTGCGAATCGCTGCACATCAATTGTCGTTCAAACAAACACCGAACGAGCCTTTTTAAGGTGACGGCATCGAAAGCAGTGGAACAAGGACATATCTTCGGAATCCCGTACGAGCTAAACAACCAGTAGCACCGGAGGGCGGGCCCCCGACTCTCCCGGGATGCCAAACTCGACGTATGAAGGGACGGACGATCGATCCTATCAATGCTTCAGAAATTTCTCGCTCTTTGCTCCTTCGACAGGAGTCACACTCTCGCAAGACTGATTTCCCGGGGCCCATACGTATCATCGCCATGGACGTCATAGCCATTTCAAAAAACCTATTGATTGATTCTCATCGATCCCTTGGGGCTTGAACTTGGGGTATGCCCTTCTCCCCTTCTCTCCCTCCCTGGTAGATGAACGCAGGATTTCTCCGTCCCACCCCCGATTGTGCCTGGTCCGGTGAAAACCCGGCGTGCTCCGTCCCGGCTTTGTAGGGATGCGAGGTCAATGGTCTAACGACTACGGCATGCACGACTATGAGTACACCCCCCACCCCCGATTGTGCCTGGTCCGGTGAAAACCCGGCGTGCTCCGTCCCGGCTTTGTAGGGATGCGAGGTCAATGGTCTAACGACTACGGCATGCACGACTATGAGTACACCCCCCACCCCCGATTGTGCTTGACCAATGTTCATTTTGGCGCCTTATCTGTGATGCCGCAGGCTAGACAGAGAGACGGCCAGGCACCCAACGACGACGACCATCCTGACGACCCCAAACGTCAAGCTACCCACTCCCACTTCCGCAGGCCGCACGTATCTCCCGCAACGTGTAAGTGCTGCTCCACAAAGATTAGCGTTCCGAGCACGCCCTCTCGACCGCTTCCCACAGATCGTCCTCTTCCTTTTGAGACATCCGAGTGCCCGCTAATGGCATGTGGGTCCGGGTCGCCTTTCGATCGAACCAGAACTTGCCCGTTTCCCCGAACGCCGCCCGTGAACACGCCTGACACAGAAAAATACCATGGTTAAGTAGGAGGGTGAGTTTCTACTGTTAGCATCGACCGCGCTGACCGGCTGACCAATCAAAAGACTCAACGCGGTTGAAAACACAAAGTACCTTTCGGGGTTGTGCGTGTAATGTAAACGCAGACCGTAGTCGTTTGGCCATTGACCTCGCATCCCTACAATGCCGGGACGGAACCATCTGCCGGGATTCCGCCGTCCCGAGTTGGGGGGGTTAATCAGCGCGTGATATTGTTGGCCGGCTTCAACGTTACCTTTGTAGTCTACATCGAAGTATTCCTTGCATAATTCATGAAATATATCAAGCGGTGTGCCTAATTTTTGACTGACCCTACTAGGAGGGCAAATTGGGCGGGCAATTCACAAGCAACCCGAGTGTCACTTGGGGGATTTTAAAGGTGGTTTCGTCCCCCAGCAAGCGACATCCTAGGTTATCTCAAAACTTTTCCAACATTTCGATCCCTTGAGAGGGGGAGCGTCACTATCGCTAGGAGGCTGCTGGGCTACCTGCACGCACCCGAAGACGAGGCCGGGCACGCCATACACTCGCCGATATGCGCAGGGTACTAACTAGTAGCGTGGGGGAGATCGAGAGCTCGTTTTGCACGCTGACCACAAAGCATTTGTCAATATTTAGCCTGGCGGTTTATCAGTCTACCTATCGGTCTTTGCCAACTCGACCTGTCTGTCTGGCTATCTCTCTGTCTCTCAATTCCTCTCTGTTCTCTGTCTCTCCCTCTCTCTCCTCTCTCGTACCCACACCTTTACCATCATTCTCTCAATTTATCTCTCTTGCCTGTCTCTCGAACAGCCTGTTTCACTTCACGCTCAAGTCCATCAAGGTGCCAAGAAAAAAGGGTTCCACACATTATAGACACACAAAACACATGATCACCAGCCAGACGATGGTGTCGCTCCCCTCTTCGCTGGACCTCAGCGAACCCTGCTGCCGCTCGCGGAAGTCCGGCATCCCGGAGGCTAACCCGGGAGTGTCGCACCACCCCGGGTGCATCGAATTAAAAGAAACGCCTCCATCTTTGTGCAGGGCTGCCCACCGCTCCGTCAGAGTCACCTGCGCTCGCTTAGCCAGCGCGTACCTGGGATGGGAGTTGGAATGTGAAGGGGGGACGGGGTTCTTCAGTGCCGTAGGGGCATCTCGGCTGAAACTCCTAATTATTCCGCGCAAGGTATTTTCCGTCCGTCTACACTTTATTGGGTTGTGCGAGAGAAATAAAGTGGCTTCTTACGGCTGTTTTGTTGTCTGTGTGCTACGTTGTCGTCTCGAAGGGACGACAATGCTATATTTACACTTGGTTGGGGTTGCGATGTTTCCCGCCGTCTCCCTTCCCCAACCAGAAACTGAAGTCTGTCTGCGCCCAGCCATCTGTTCAGGTGAGACAGAAACCCGGTGCTCACACGACCGTCCCGTCATAGGGATCGACCCTCTTGCTGTCCAAGTCTGCAGCGATCCCCGCCCCGGACACCGTGTACATCCCCCCGGAGGACACGTTGATCACGCGGGCCCCCGTCTTGCCTCCGCCGGGTCTCGGGTCTGCGCCCCCCTCCGCTGATGATGTCGCTGCTGCTGCTGTCGAGTCTTCTGCCGTCATCGCGGCCTTCTCGAGGGCTGGGAGCAAGAGCTTCGTCAGGAGGTAGGTACCGCCCAGCATCGTCGCCTGCAGATTGGATCGCGATCGGTTTGTACTTTTGTCAGGCTTGGCGGGGAGGGGGGAAGGGCCGCAGACGACTGCTACTCACTCGAATCCTACACGGCCGTGGAGTATTAGTTTCACCAGAGAAAATCCCACCCCTCCAACGAAGCTGGGATAATTTTTCAGATATTATGTGCTTGTTCTACAAGGTAGATCTATTACTAGGGAATACACCCCTCGGGAGAGCATCCGAGGTCTGACGGTCTTACAGCTGAAGGGGTGAAAACAAACCCTTCCCCCAAGTCCGGGGTACCGTCCACTCTTGTGAAACGCGGACATTCTTTTCCAGATAGCGGTGTGCGGGGCGAATTCCACTCCGGCAACCTCGCAGTAATTTCGGTCTCACCATGATGGCCTCGTGCTTCTGCGCCGATTCCGTCCTCTCTGCGGGCATTCCTCCGGCGTTGTTGATCAACACGTCAAGACGGCTGTTGGACTCCAGAAAGGAGCTGGCGAAGGTCTCCACCTTGTGCGTCGAGAGGGGGGGTTGATGCGTGGACAAGATGGGAGCGAACCCCGACGCCGCAAAAAATGAAAAGCATACGTGCAATGTAATACGGAAAAAATACACCGTGCAAACAGTCAAAACGCAATATTTTTAGTATAAAATGAAAATATCAAAATACGTGCAATGTAATATGCAAAAAATACACCGTGCAAACAGTCAAAACGCAATAGAATAAAATGAAAATATACCAGCAGCACCTGAATAGAAATAAAAACTTATCCTCCCTTCACTTTTCCTCTACAGCACCTGCTGAAAGTCCGAAACGTCGACGACATGGAGATAAACGTCTTCATTTCCCGTTTCCGCGGAGAGGCGTGCTCTGGCCTCCTCCCCCCTGGTCTTGTTCCGGCAGAGCATGTGCACGGTGCAGTTTCGCTCGGCGAGGGACTTGGCTGCGCAGTAGCCGATGCCGGAGTTTGCGCCCGTCACGCAAGCGACCTTGCTCCGCATGTTCTGCGGTTTTGTTCGTTTGAAATGGCGTCGAGGGCAAGAAGGGCGCAAGATTTGAAACACAACAACTACGTATTATCGTGGATTTCTTTTTCCCTTTCTCCTACCAGCATCCTGCATCGCGAGTTTTGGAAGAAAATCTCGAAGACATATTTGCGTGCTTCTGCTGTCGCGTCATGCTACAGTACCGCCCTAGTGATTTTGTGTGTGAAAGGGGACGAGTTCAGAGCAACTTCGCGCGGGTTCCTCCAACCGCCGCTAGTCTTCACACGTACGTGGATCTTCTTACACGGTGGGTCTCGACTTTGAATCAGGACACACGGCTGCCCTGTCAACCCAGCCTGAAAACGGCACACTCGGGTGAGCTACGCATTCACTCCGCGCTGCTCTGTATATCGCGACACGTGCACCATTTCTTTCTTAGCGAGATTTTCACCTACTACTACTGCGTTTCGTATCGTGGCGTTCTCACCACGTCCAGGTCGCCGGGCGAGAAGGAGGCGCAGGCGTTGGCGAAGCCCTTGGCGCCGTACTTCCGGGACCCTTCGAAGAACCATTGCGCTGTTGCGGCCACCGAGTACTTCTGCTTGGCACACGCGCACGGAAGAGAGGTACATGGGTTTTCCCTGACGCTGTTAATAGAACCGGCGCTGGCACCGCACGAACTGTCCCTCCACAAATTCTACACTATTTCAAGGGTGTGTTTAGTAGAGTAGAGTATTTTGAGTAGAGTATCGACAGTCGTACTAAAGGTTTAGTAGAGTAGAGTATCGGGAGTAGTACTAAACCTAATAGTAGGTCGAGTAGAGTATCGAGAACTCTACTAAAACTTTAGTAGAGTATCGGGAGGAGTACTAAACCTAATAGTAGGGTGAGTAGAGTATCGAGACCTCTACTAAAGGTTTAGTAGAGTAGAGT